TCTCAACCAAGAGTGATTCTGCCCCCTTGATATGTGGCAATGTCTGGAGACATTCTTGGTTTTCACAACTGGTAGAGGGAGGAGATATCAACATCTAGTGGGGTAGAAGCCAGGGATGATGCTAAACATCCTACAGTACACAGACAGCCCACTTGATAAAGAATTAACCAGCCCAGGGCTGCCTGGGTGGCTCAGTTGGTTAAGTGTCTGACTCTTGGTTTCAGCGCAGGCATGATCTCACGTTACATGAGATTGAGCCCTGCATCTGGCTCTGTGCTGACAGGGCAAAGCCTGCTTGGGATTCTCTCTCTCTGCCTCTCCCCTGCTTACACACACACACACACACACACACACACACACACACACACACTTTCAATCAACCAATAAAAGACTTACCCAGCCCAAAATGTCTGTGGCTGAGAAACCTGGTGCTAAAGGAAATGGAACCAGAGGCAAAGAAAGTAAAGTGAGAGTTATGAACAAGGCAATATTTGGGATACTGGGAACAAGGCAATTAAGGGAAACCGAGGAAGGGACACCACATTCGCTTGTTTGGAAAAGAGGACGATAGGTAAACCTCTGGGTTCTGGCAAATTGAAGGACGGCCTGTTTTTGAGGAGAGTGGGCCCACAGACTGTTGTATATGGAGGGTGGCCTGCTTGGCTAATGTCGCCTATTGGGAGAGCGAAGTTGGCCTGCACTTCCATTGGCATGGTAGCCAAAAACACGTGCTTCTGAGCTGACAACTCTTGGATGAGGGAAGTGCCAAAAGCAGTGATAAGACAAGGATCACGGTGTTACAGCAGATTACAAGTGAAGGCAGGGAAAATCTGTTTTTAGATACCTGTTCGTCTAACAGTGCAGAAATGAACTTCAGCAACAAGTGGTTTTCCCCTAACACTGGGGAGCCTCTCCCTTCAGCATTCGCCTCATGAGAGAACTCTTTCAAAGGTGTGTCGCTATTAGCTGTGGAGAATTTGGTAATGGTCTTGGGAGGGCTGCTGAGATGATGGCAAGGCCAGGCTGGGAGGCAGGCTCTGAAGACTGGACTCAGGGTGGGGGGAGGGGAAGGGGAGGTGTCGCAACGCACTGCCCAGGACACCAACTGTTTAACAGCACCTGCAGACTCCCCGTGCTGAGGCTGGGCCCCCGGTGCCACAGCCTGCAACTCAGGGAAGGCACTGTTTCGGACAGGCATTTCTTCCTGAGCTCTCCACCTCAGAACCTAGCTCGGTACAAAGGGGGTTTGGGACCTCAGCACAGCCCGAGGTTCACGTCAGCCATTCAGGCACCCCGTATACCCTGTATACCAGAGCTGAATCACCCCCAGGTCCGTCCAACACCAAATCCACTCCAGCTCTTCCCACGGTCTCTTCTCAAATGAAAAAGCTACACAGGCTGGGCAAGACATGAGGTGTCTAAACCCTGAGGCCAGGGCCCCCCAGGAAGCACAGAAGGAGTGGGCTCTTTGCCAGCCGGTGAGTCGCCCCTCAGCCTGGAGCAGTTCCTCCATTCCCAACCTCCTTCACGCTCTTTTTGCTGTTTCCCCCTTTGGCCTCCTTCTCTCCCCCTCTCCCTACCAGCCTCTAATTTGTCCCCCTCTTTCTGCCTCTCACTCTTCTCCTCGCTCCCTAATGGTCCATGAGAGCGAAACGAAGATGTGACTGAAACACTGTTAGTGGTGCTACAACGAAGCTTTTTTTCTTTTATTAACTGGTTTTTCTTTTTTTCGTTTATTAACTTTTTTTTTCTTTTATTAACTTTTTAATGCGCCTTGACAATAAAACCTGACTTTAGTTGCCTTCTACCTTTGGTGAACCTTTTGATCTCTCCTGTGTACCAGCATCCCTGAATAAAGGGGGGAAGGGGTTCCTCCAGCCATGCCCTGGGTCCTCAATCTGTGTGGCTGAAAGATCGAAATCAAAACCAGAGGAACTCAGATTTAGTATGAGGAAGAATTTCCTCACATTCAGACCACTGGAGTAGTCTCCTACCTAACCTCTCTATCTCCATTCTTTCTCCATTCAATCAATCTTTAATGCAATATTAACACAATCACCCCTTGCTCCAAAACCATCAATGGCTATCCACTGCCCAAAAAACACACAGTGCAAATTCCTTCACCTGGCATTCGATGGCCTCTACCAACCTACTAGGAATTTCCTAACTAACAGTGGTTCCCAGGAATGGAAATGGTGAGAAGATGCACTTTTCTCCTGGAAGTATCACTCATATATACCGGCCAGGCTACCTCACATAAGGGATGCTAAAAAAGCAGTAGCTAGTCTTTGAGGAGCCCTCTCTCCCTCCCAATGAACCATGCCTCTTGGTATTCATACCCTTGTGCAGTCCTCTGAATCTGAACTGGTCCTGAGACCAGGAAAAGACAAAGGAATTGACACTGTGTTACTTCCAAGGCTAGGTCACAAGAAACCTTGCCCTTTAGCCCTGGATCTCTCAGTATACTCCCTCTTGGGATGTTTCCGTTCAGAATCCAGCCATCGTGCTGTGAGAAGACCAAGTCACATGCGGAGGCCACGTGTAAGCACTCTAGCCAACAGCCAGCATCAAGCGCGAGCCATGTGAGTGAGCCAGGGTGGATGTCCAGCCCAGTTGAGCCTTCAAATGACTCCTGTCCCAGCCTCCATTTGACTAAAGCAATATATCCCAACTAAGAACTGCCCAGATGAGCCAGTCAACTCAAACAACAATGAAAGGTAATAAATTATCAATTTCACTTAAGAATATCCTAAATGAGGGGCGCCTGGGTGGCTCAGTCGGTTGAGCACCTGACTCTTGATTTTGGCTCAGGTCATAATCCCAGGGTTGTGGGATCAAGCCTCACATCAGGCTCCATGCTGACTGTGGAGCCTACATGGGGTTCTCCCTCTTTCCCTCTCTCTCTAAAATAAAAAAATTAAAAAAAAATAATGTCCTAAATGAGACAATAAAAACTAACTTCATTAAATCTTGACCTTTAAGTACATGTCTTTTAAATATTCTTTGTAATAAAACAAGAGTTACGTGGTTATCAAGAAAAAACAATCGTGAGATTGAGTTACAAGCTAAACTAGTCATTTTTTTCATGATACAACATTTTTTACTTGAAAGAAAAGAGTAACAAATTATAAGGTTTTTTTAGTGTTTATTTATTTTTGAGAGGGAGAGAGACAGAGCATGAGTGGGGGAGGGGCAGAGAGAGGGAGACACAGAACCCGAAGCAGGCTCGAGGCTCTGAGATGTCGGCACAGAGCCCAACGTGGGGCTTGAACTCACGAACTGTGAGATCATGGCCTGAGCCGAAGTCGGACACTTAACCGACTGAGCCACCCAGGCACCCCAAGAGTAACAAATTATGTTAGATTTGAGTATTTGACAGACTTTTTTTTTAAGTTTATTTATTTATTTTGAGAAAGAGGGGTGGGGAGGGGCAGAAAGGAGAGACAGAATTCCAAGCAGGCTCTATACTGTCAGCACAGAGCCCGACACGGGGCTTAAACCCACAAACCATGAGATCATGACCTGAGCTGAGATCAAGAGTTGAACGCTTAACTGACTGAACCATCCAGGCGCCCCTCAAAATCTTTTTGTGCACATGTCTTCTCTCCCCAACTAGATTCCACACACTTGGGGGACGGGAGCAGCCAAGGACCGTTTCTGAAACATCTGTCACAGCACCTGACCCACAAAAGTGCCTCAGATGAGAAAGACAAAGATAACAACCAAACCACAGTTTTTTGAGATTAGCACTGAAAACTCTGACAGCCTCACCTTTTGCCAATGGAAACTAAGAAAGAAAACTTCTAGCTGGGACTGGGAGCTCAGAGCCTAGGGATAAACTGGACAAGTGACCCCTGGACATGTACAATTGCTGCCACTGTGACTAGCTGCTGCTGACACAAACGACAGAGCAATGAACCCAGGGGGAAGTTCTGCCTTATCCCCTCGCGGGGAACCTCAGAAGTCTCCCAAGCCCCCCTTCTTCCTCATGCACATTTCCTTGAGACGAAAGGACTTGGTACGGGTTTGACAACAGGAGGGGCCCCCGCCTGAGGCCTTCCTGCGAGATCCACAAACAACCTGACCCCCACAGACTGACAGACACACGGGCTCGGCACCCTGTTCGGCAACAGGAAAACCCACAGGGTGTTAAAGGCAGAGAAAGGGAAGTAAGGCTCATAAACAGCTCCTGGAACCACTGAACTTCAGAGATTACAACAAACCAGATGGGAGCCCATGTTTCCCTGGCCCCCCGGCAGGGACCTCGCCATAGCCCGGCCTCCCAAATAGCTGGGACAATGACATCGAATTCCCTGTAGCTCCCCTTCTGAGAGTTTATAAAATCTGCCAGGCATCCTGAGAACAAACCGGGAAACAGTAACAAGAAGCCCAGAGCATTGTGCAGACCTGCTACGCTAGCAGAGATGGAAGAAAACAGCTCCATTTCTTACGCCCAGCTCACATATGCCAGCAAACCACAGACCCATAAGATGGGGACTGAATCTGGTTTTTTTTACTATCATCATTCCCCAAGTATCTACTACTGTGCCTGGCACATAGCAGACACTCAAAAATGTCTGTTGCACAAATGAAAGAAAATGACAGACACCATCTTTGTCTGGCACCCACACAGACAGAGAAGAAAAGTTTGTACACTGATTCATTCGACAAATATTTATTTAGCATCTCCTCGGTGCAAGGCAGTCCTAGACACAACAGGAAACAAAGTTAAGTCCCTGCCCTTGTGGAGTCTATGTTTTAGTGGGTGTAAAGGTGAAAAATCTCAGTGCTCTCCCCAAAACTACATAAGCCATAGACCTTTAATAATGTTTAAATAAATGCCCACTATGTGTAAACAGTGAGTACCAAATGTTATGATAGACACCTGGGATCTAGGAACTCAGCCCTAGTGAAATCACTTCATCTTTTGGGCCAGGATCCTAAATCTGGGATGTGTCAGTTGGTTGTCAGAGGTCCTTGTGTAAGGAAAATGGGATTACCGCTTTGGTGCATCTGTCCTCATCTGTCGGTGAACAGAAGCCACTGCGTGAGTACCACGTGCATGCCCAAAACACCACGCAACACTGCAGGATAGAAAGAAACCCAACATCTTCAGCTGAGAAGCACCAGGGGTCAGAAAAGCAGCTTTAATATTATAATTAAACACTAGGGCTCAAAAGGTGCTCCCAAGCAAGCTGGCTCTTTCTCTGTCCTTCCCACACACACACACACACACACACCCTGAGATGTTGTTATTCTGAGCCTGAGTCAGCAAATATTTCCCAGTCCTGGAAGTAGTCTGCTGATTTCCAAGTAAGCAGACACTGGCTTTGCTGATTTTACCAGGGTGGGGCACAAGGAGCTGGCAACGTGAAGAAGGATCTGGAGTCCAACATCCCCCACAGGTGGCAGCTCATAAATGGAGATGCCCTGAGTCATGCTTGAGTCCTTGACCCAAGCCCCATGGAACCAGGACTAGAGTCACACCCCAATCACCAGCCTCTGAGTTATGAAGGCCAGGAACCACCTGCCAAGGAAGAAGACCCACATGTCTGAAACCTGATGCAAGAGGCCATCTCCCCCCTGCCAGGCTCAAGCAAGTGCCCAGCTCTCCTCTGAAACCAGCTGCTGTCAGTGGCTCCTCCCCCTGGATCCCAAGGCACAGAAAAATGCTCGGGGATTTCAAACCATTGACAAGCAGCCACTGTGCAATCTGGGACAACATGGCATAGACCAGGGTATCATCACACACAGAACTTCTGACCCGACACAAGCCAGAGCCTGGCAGGACAGACCAAGTCTGTGGAAACGCTGGGAAGGGAGGAAGAAGAGAGTGATCCCAGCGTGGACAGTGCAAGGCAGCGGGGCAGCTCCTGGCATTTCCAGGCCCTACTCAGGCACTGGACGAGGGCCCTGCAACTGAGCTTCCCAGCCAGCAGGGAGCACACTGGGAGGTGAGCCTCAGTGACAGGCTATACAGCTGAAGTCTTTAAAGCCACAATCCAACTCCTGAAAGAGAGGAGCTACCCGGTCCCAGAACATGCCAGGATCTGCATGCCCTCAGGACAGCTTGCACAACAGCCAGAACAGCTGTACTCTACCCAAAGCAGAAGCCTACTTGCTTCCTAGGCCAGTGTACAACACGGCTATCCTCTATCAGGCCCTTAGGGAAGAGATCTGAGGGACCACAGGCCTGGTAAGGGCCATTCTTCTTCAATGGGTAGAGGCACACACCAAAGGAAGAGCCAACCAAAGAACAGTCTGTTAAACTAAGGAGCTGACAGGTTACATCTTCTGTAGAATAACGTCAGGGGTCTGTCTGCCTACACCTTTTGAAAAACAGAGACGGCTGGCCCAAACTCTGCAAAAAATCACTGAATGGGAACTTGGTAATTGATAATCCTGACCATCCACAAAGGCCACAGAGTGGACAAACTGAAGGAATCTATCCAGCCAGAGCTGCTGGTGCCCAAGCTGTTGCAGAAGGACTGGGCTTGCCCTCTTCTCAAGCCCTTCTCACCTGCTGCCTGGGTACAGAGCACCACTAACGGATAAGCAAAGAGAGGAGTAGCACACCTCTCAAAGAGCCAGGTCAAGTCCTTGGGAGCCAGAGACTGGACTAAATTACTGCCAAACACACAAGCTCACCTCCATCAGAATGACCCATTCCAACCCTGGAGGGATGCTTTTCACAGGAAGAAGGCCACCCCTTTTGATCCATTCTGCCCAAATCTGACACAAGTACTGCTTAGGAAGGGGCTCAGGGGTCCGTGGAGAGGAAACTGGCTCAGCTGTCCACAATCGTACTCCTTTCACAGAAAAGGGTCAGTGCGCAAGAGAATTCCAAAACCTTAAAGTCTGGTCCAAGCTGGTTCACTTGGCTCTCCACCACAGCTCTTGAAGGTTGCCAATTCTGGGTCCAATTCTGGCTCAAAGACAGAGAGCACGATCCTCAAAAGAGGAGACCTAGAAACCCAGAGCCAGGTGAAACAACAGGCCTTCATTTCTAAATGTGAGAGTGGGTCATGCTTTCAGAATCCTCCAAGATCAGATTGGGCAGAAACAGAGGATATGTTATTTCCTGAAGATCTCTCCAGGGGACCAATGCCAAATAAAGGAGTGCAAATTGAAAGCATCTGAAAAGAACTTTCTGCCTGACACAAAGACACATCAAGAAGGTGGTGGGGTCTCTAGCCCCAGAGAGGATATGTCTGTGACTGGACACAACTCAAATTCCGGACACCATCTAACCAATACAGCCCCACAACGTCCCCAGGCAGATATCCACCTGGCAGGGCAAAAGGAACAGAACTTAAGGTCTGCCTTCCTCTTGGATCCGCAGGAAATTAAGCTCTCAAGGAAAATGGAGGAAGAATCTTCAAGAGAACCTGCTCAGTGACTGACATCAGAGGCCCTCACATTCAGTGAGGTCAGGGATGTACAAGTGAATATCAGAGGCTGGTTCAGGTGACCAATAACAAACGGTGGACAGCTGCCTGCCAGCCCCCAGGGCTATCGGGCTGGCAATCTATTTCAAAACTCATGCAGGAAAAAAATGTCTTGGACACAGTAGAGGAAAAAGGTTAAGGCATTCTCTGGGGCACAACTTCTGGAGACTTCTCTTAGCTCTTTGGGATGGGGCACAGGGAGAAGGGTGGGCAGAGAGGGCAGAGATAATCTGGAGTATCATGATGTAACCGTGCTTGGGTACATCCAGAGTGGAAAGACACGGAGCCCTGTTTCCTGGAAGGGGAAAAGAGTTGGATGAGGCCTCCAGCTACCCCTGGCACACACCCAACTCAGCGGCTGGTCTCTCCCCAAGGGTTCCTGGAAGTCAACAGACCCATAAAGGGGAAGTATTAAAACTGAGATTAGAAGAATGGTGTACAAATTGGACATTATCCCCGATGCAACACCCAAGTCAATTCTCCCAAACAGACCTGCCTGCTATTTACCTCAGACATTCAGCCCCTTACTTCAATCAGGGGCTGAATGCCCCCCACCCCACCCCGGGGGGGGGGGGGGTATCTCAACAGCAAGTCAAGGGAAAAGCGGAGTAGAGCATGGAGCTAATGCTTCTTCCCCAAGTAGAGGCAAGGAACTGGGAGGTAGGTGACAGGAATGCAGGGGACGGGGCTAATAAGAAGGAAATTAGAGAGAGAGGTGAAAACAGGGCATCTGAGGGTAGCCAGGGTAAAAGGGGCTTAGGTAGACAGGGATTGCTGGCACGGGGCTGAAAAAAGCCTAATAACACCGCGAAGATGAGGGGGAGCGGTAATCTTGAGGGGGGGGGCAGGAAATGGGGGAAGAAGGGGAACCAGGATGGGAAAAGAGAGCAAAGACCGAGAGGGCAGATAGGGGGACGAAGGCAGGACATAAAGATAACGAGAGGGACAGAGAAGATCCCCAAGGAGATCCTCGGTAAAGAGGGCAATGGATTTGGAGACACCACAGAAGGGATGAAGGAAGAGGTCAGAGGCAATGGTAGGGAAGGGGAGAGGACCCCGAACCTTAGACCCAGCTCTTCAGAACACAGAAATGGGACAAGACGGAGCCACTAGGCCCAAGAGGGGGCACAGAGTCTGGTGGGGGAGGCTCGCGGTTCGGGCTCAGTGATGGGGGACCAAAAGGCTGGGGGCGCGCGGGCGCCAGGACAGCAACCAACCACGGCGCACCGGCCGGGGCCGGGCCATCGGGAAGCCGCAGCGGCTCAGCCCGCGGACCCCTGCCGCTCCCCCCACCCCACTCCCCACCGGGCCTCGCGTCCCGACCCGGCTGGCCGCCTCAGCCCGGGCCCGCCGCCTCCTTCCGCTGCTTGCTACCGCTTCCCCCGACCCGGACCGACCTGTTTTGGCCGCCTCCCGCGCCGCCTCTGCCGTCCCGCAGGCTCCGCAGAATCCTCCGAAGCCTGCCAAAACTTTTCCCATTAATCCCCAGCTCCGAGGCGGCCGCGGCGTCACACGCTGCGCGGCCCGACCCCGCCCCCACCATCCTGAGGTCACCGCGCAGCTCGGCCCCCTTCTCCCCACGCCCCCTTCCGCCCCGGCCGGGGCCAATCACCGCGCGTCCTGGGCGCTCCCCTGATTCTGCACTCCGCCCACCGCATGTTACCCAGGACCCGCCTGCAGCGCCCTCTGGTGTGGGATGCGGCGTGGCAGCTGAGGGAGGAGCAGGAGGGGATGTTCCAGGGCTGTAAGACAAGTCTGACAAGTATCGCAAAAGGGAATTTAAAGCTGGAAGGGAATTTAAAGGTCGTCTAATACAGCCTCCACGTCTTTCCACTGAAGAAACGGTCTCAGGGAGTGTGAGTGACTTGCGGTCAGAAGCCATGCCGGGGCTAGAACCTGGGTCTCCAGACTCCACTGGAGGAGTCCGTGTTGCCTGTAAGTTTTAAAGAAAAGACTTTCCTCCCTGGAGAGGCTTCTGCAACTAGAAATTTATGGTTATGAACTTTCTACCTATCTTCCTCTGTACTTAAGTAATATGCTTGCCCACCTAAATGGGGAGCATCCTCCTTACTGTTGTAGCAAATTCTGTTCTTGGCTTCTTAACCCAGTTCTTGAGGCCTGGGAAGGGACCTGTTATCCCAACCTGTCCCTTCAGATATACCATGACAAGATACCTAGCAGCTAGTAGGCAGTATGGCGGAAGAAGTTGGGTTTGTTATCTGGCGAGGAACAAAACTTGACTCACAGGTATATGAGCAATGGGTAACTCCCTTCTCTCCAAATGTCTTTTAAAGTTAGGATTACCTCTTCCCCTTAAGTACATTTCTCAGGCCACACCCTCAGGTGTCTGGATGATAGAACTATGAGTGATTGTTTTTCTTCTGCCTCCCTCCCTCTCTCTCTTTTTTAACTTTTTGAAATGAATGTGCATTACTTTTGTAATTCGGGCATCGACTTCCTTGTCCTTGGAGATTGAAGTAAGAATGCGTTGTGGAGGTCAAAGGCTTCCCTAAGATTTCTGCAAATTTCTGGAGATTTATATTCTTCTGAATCTCTCTGCCTCCAGGTTCCTGTTTCTGCCCGGCTGCTGTAGTGCCACAGTTCAAAAATGTAGAGATGAAACGAAGCCCTTCCTGAAGACTGCCCACACCTCTTCCCACACAAAACATTCATGGGCAGAGAAGACATTATGACGCTTTGGGCCCTGGAGCAGGGTCACATGATGCATTGCAAAAGGTTTAAACTTACACATCAGACATTCCTTAAGAGTCTTTTCTGAACAACCCATTTGAGGTTTTCTGATTGGCCCTTCACCTCTTAGGGCCTTGCCTTCTCCCAAATCACTACTCTCCTCCCTGACCCACCATTCTCTCCTTTATCCCACCCTCTCTGGAGAAAAAACAAATTCTTCCTCATTTCCGGGCAGATAGAGACATCTTAACCCCATCTCTTTTTGCTAGGGTTCCAGCCAACACTCCAGCCCTGAAGATCTTACTTTCTACCCTTAGGAGGCTTATGGCTCAGTCAGTTAAGCATCTGACTCTTGGTTTTGACTCAGGTCATGATCTTGCTGTCCTTGGGTTCGAGCCCCACGTCGGGCTCTGTGCTGACAGTGTAGAGTCTGCTTGGGATTCTTTGTCTCTCTCTGCCCTTCCTCCTCTTTCTCTCTCTGTCTCTCTCTCAAAATAAATAAGTAAACTTTTAAAAAACATAAAATAACAACAGCTCCCTTCCTAAAAGAAATTCTGGGAGTACTGTCAAGATATTACATTTTCCACCTCATTTCATTTTTATATTAAAAGATAGATAAAGAGAATATTTTACATAATATATTTAGTAAGTATGTATTTAACATTTAGACCACATAATTCTATTGCTCATTGCAATATTATTTTAAAAAAATGGAGATAACCTCACTGTCAACAACAGAGAAATGTTTAGGTAAATTATTTTGTATGCTCCTGATGGATTATTATGATTTGTAGAGTTGTAAAAAAAAAAAAAAAAAAAAAAAAGGAAAAATGTTATGATAGTAAGTGGAAAAAAGCAGGATCTGATGATATATAGGGAATATATAGCTATGTATACTGTTGGGCAAACAAAAAGGATAGGAAAAAAACAAAGGAAACGCTAAAATGTTATCAGCAGTTGTCTTTGCGTTCTGTTTTTATGAGTTATTATCTTTCTACATTTTTAGTCTGAGCATTTTTTTCATAGTGGAAACATGGTTTGATTTTGTTTTGTTTTGTTTTAAAGAACAAAAAATAAAAATCTTCCTCATATTGAGCAGAAGTTTATATCTCTGGTGCACCTACCCAACAGTGTCTGTCCTCTCCCTTGGAAGTAAACTAAGTCAAATTGTTTTCCCTATAAGAGACCTTCTGATGTTTGATCCCATTCCCCTATACAACATCCCTAGTTCCTCATATAAAATGATTGTGGCTCCCTTTGCCACCAGATTGCTAGCCTCAGAATGTGCCATTTTCCGTATATCCGTCCTCTTCAAGGCTTCCTTGTTTTTGGCTACCTAACTTCTGAACCATCTTCCCATATTTGGGGAATCTCCCACTTCATTTTTTAAAAAAAATTTTAAACGTGTATTTATTTTTGAGAGACAGAGACTGAGCATGAATGAACAGGGGAGGAGCAGAGAGAGAGGGAGACACAGAATCTGAAGCAGGCTCCAGGCTCTGAGCTGTCAGCACAGAGCCCGACGCGGGGCTCAAACTCACGGACCGCGAGATCGTGACCTGAGGTGAAGTCAGATGCTTAACCAACTGAGCCACAGGCACCCCTATTTATTTATTTTTTAAAAGCTTATTTACTTATTTTGAGAGAGAATGAATAGGGGAGGGGCAGAGAGAGAGGGGGACAGAGAATCTGAAGCAGGCTCCATGCAAAGAGCCCAATGTGGGGCTCCAACTCACAAACCACGAGATCATGACCTGAGCTGAAGTCCAACGCTCAACCCGCTGAGCCACCCAGGCGCCCCAGGAATCTCCCACTTTGGACTCTTCCTCCACAGTAGAAGCTGGAAAATGTCAGGCATTTGCTTCCAGCTCCCTGTTCAACTAGGGTATTGCCACACGACCAAGGCTCCACTGGAAGTTGGGAAGATGAAAAACTGGGAAGCGCACATAATGCATTTGGGTAAGTGGCCCAGCAGCAGCTCCACCTGATTTCTAGCTGTAAGAAGCAGCAAGAAGAATACCAAACCAGTGGTATTAGCCACGGAATCAGCAGCGACGGTACCCAGACGAAGCAGCTGGGGTGTCTTCATAAGCACTGCCATGTGCCATAATTTGAGGTATTGTTCCTGACTATACAGCCTCCAAGCTGGCTTGCTCTCATCCTCCCAGTTATTTAAGGAACTCTTCTATACTCTATTAATAAATCCCCACCCCCTTTTTTTTAACTTAAATCAGCCAGTTTCTGTTTCTTGAATCTTCATTTTGACTCGATTTGTCCATAGGCAACTCAAAGGGTCCCTGCCAAGCCTCTGCAACCCTTTCCAGACCAGCCAGAGGTCCCAGAACCCTGTTCTGATGCCTAATTATAGCATAACTGAATAATAACTTATGGTGTGAGATAAAGCTAGATTTGTTTTGAATTAGATTCCAACCTCCACCACAGCCATTTAGCCTCCTAAAATCAGTCTCCTTGGTATTTCCCTTCCTCCTCCTTCTCACCTACAGCAGGGGCCAGAAAAGCGACTCTCGGCGGGGGAGACCTTGCACTTGAGCTGGCGGCACCCTGGCGGCACCCTGAAGATCCTGGCGACAATGTGCAACAGCCTGTTGCACTGCAGCCAATCGCCCTACCTCCCCACTCCTCCTGCCATACAAACTAGACTGGGATGACTTAGGACCACAATGGCTGTGCTTTTCACATGGTCCCCAGAGTTTATGATTATCTCTGAGGGCATCAGAGATTGGATACACACTCCTTTGTCCAGGATGTTGGAAAGGGCAGAGGAGTTACTTTCTAATCCTGGAATGAAAAGACTAGAAGGTATGGTGCACCTGGGTGGCTCAGTCAGTTGAATATCTGACTTTGGCTCAGGTCATGATCTCGCGGTTTGTGGGTTCGAGCCCCACGTTGGGCTTGCTGCTGTTAGCGGCAAGCCCGCTTCACATTCTCTTCCCTCTGTCCCCTTTCTTGCCCCTTCCCCACTTGCGCTTTCTCAAAAATAAAATTTAAAAATTAATTTAAAAATTAAAAATAAAAAGACTGGAAGATATCTTCTCCTGCCCCCTAGTTATGTCCCTCAAGACTGAGAGCTTTTCGTACCGGTTCCAATATGGATGGCATTCAGGCATCAGGGCTACCTTCCTAGCAGTATCTCAACCATCAACGCCTCCCTGTGGCCAGTTATAGAATATTCCAAAACCTGGAATGGACCTCATTTACAGGTGAGGAAATTGAAGTTTAGGGATTGGCTTGCCACCTCAAGACTAAACTCTACCTAGTCTCCAAGAATGTCTGTAATCAGGCTTCATTCTACCTTTCTAGTCATGGGTGGTAGTCTTCAGATTGTTTTGCCTCTCTATTCCTAAATAGTATATGGGGTGCCTGGGTGGCGCAGTCGGTTGGGCGTCCGACTTCAGCCAGGTCATGATCTCACAGTCCGTGAGTTCGAGCCCCGCGTCGGGCTCTGGGCTGATGGCTCGGAGCCTGGAGCCTGTTTCCGATTCTGTGTCTCCCTCTCTCTCTGCCCCTCCCCTGTTCATGCTCTGTCTCTCTCTGTCCCAAAAATAAATAAACGTTGGAAAAAAAAATAGTATATAAGTGTGTATATATATATATATATATATATAGTATAAAGTATATAACTACACATCTCCATGCACATTTTTAAGGTGACATCTAATATTTCTCACCATTAGTTTAAAACTTAGAAAATGGATATAATTTCTATTTTATAAATATTGACATTGCCATATAAAACTGCTTTATTACCTTTCTCTTTTTGAGAGAGAGAGAGAGGGAGCGAGTGAGGGGCAGAGAGAGAGGGAGGGAGGGAGAGAG